GAAGGGCGCCAAAGGTTTTATCGGTTTGTTTGATGGAACCTCCAGGAGGGACAAGGTTTTACCTTTATATCCTGACTGAATGATCTCATTGGTCACTTTCGGAAACGGGATGTGGGGACTTTGACTCCCAGAATTCCCCAGCCAGCATCGGTGGGTTTAAAATCCCAGAATTCCCCAGCCAGCATTTATGGACTTCAACTCCCAGCATTCCTTAGCCTGCATTTTTGGACTTCACCTTTCAGAATGCCTCAGTCCACACGTGGACTTCAACTACCAGAATTCCTCAGGGATCATGTTTTCCAAATTTGGCAATTTGTTGAAGTGTGGATTTCAATTTTTTGCAATGCTAGCTTTAGTCTGACATGGCATAGATCACGGGTCTTCAAAATTGACAGCTGTAAGACTTGTGGACTTCAACTCCCAGAATTCCTCCTCCAGTCATGTTAGCTCAGGAATTCTGGGAGTTGAAGCCCACAAATCTTAAACTTGCCAAGGTTGAAGACCTGTGGCGTAAGAGTTTCCAGGGGGTTGGACTAGAAGACCTCCAAGGTTCCTTCCAGCTCTGTTATTCTGTTAATACTCTGTGTTAATTCTGGGAGTTGAAGTCCACACGTTGACTGAAGAAATCCGGAAGCTGAAATAGCACTAGCAATAGCACTTGGACTTATATACCGCTTCACAGTGCTTTACAGCCCTCTCTAAGCTGTTTACAGAGTCAAAATATTGCCCCCAACAATTGGGGTCCTCATTTTACCCTCCTCAGAAGGACAGAAGGCTGAGTCAACCTTGAGCCTGGTGGGATTTGAACTGCCAAATTGCAGTAGGAATATCTTGCAGTACTGCACTCTAACCCCTGCGCCACTGAGGCTCTCTAAAATCCACCAATGCTAGCTGAGGAATTCTGGGAGTTGAAATCCATGGGATGTTGGCTGGGGAACTGGCTAGCTGAACCCCAATTTTTACAGCCTTCCCGCCACCTGCTGCCACCTTGGATCGATTAGAACCAGGCTGTGAAGCCTAAAGTGTCAGATTCGTGAGAGAAACATGGCTTGAAAAGAGGAAACACCTCACAACCCACATTCCTCTGGCTTCTATTGAACCCTGTCGTGTTGGTCACGCACCGCAGGGCTGGTTTTTTGTTTTTGTTTTTTTGATTCAGGGGAAATTTATTTCCAATCCGATCTTTGCCTCCTTGTCTTGGCTGGGACTGATGAGTTGGACGGCCCCAATCAATGCCACTCTATTTTCCCACCGCCCTCAAGGTTTACAACTGCAGCAATCTTGCCAGCAGCCATTGATCGAATTTGCACAGCAGGGGAATGGCCCCGAGGGTGGGATTTGACCTCTGGGCTGCCCTCTCAAAAGTGCCCATCGAAACACATAAGCCTCCTTTTCCCACAGCGCCAAACATCCTTCAGTGTCGGTCAGCTTCCAGGAGGTGTAGTAAGCGGAGGGGTAGGAGCTTCCCCGCTCCGCAGTCCTCTGGAGCAGGACGGCCCCCGCGGTGGGATACAAATGATTTGACAACCGGCTCGCCCCAAGGGTCAGGTTTGGCCTTCGTAGGAGGGATGGCCAATCCCCGTCTTCCAGCCCCACCACACATTCGGGACCAGCCTTCCGCCACAGCCCTGGGCGAATCGGTGGTTAAATTACCCCACCCCCTGCTATCAAAGTGGACCCTGGGGCACCGTGGTGAAAATGGAGAAACGGGAAAAGGAGTGGCTGGCACGAGAGGAGGACGAGGAGCAGGAAAAAGAAAGAGTGACATCGGCCACTCTGCTGCCCGTTTCTACACTGCAGCGCAGCGCAACACCAAGGATCCACTTGGATAGAAGGGGAGAGGGGGCGTGATTTAACAAACGGTTCATCTGAACTGGTGTGAACCGGCTGAATCCCACCACTGGATGGTCCCCCCCGCACTGCTACATCGCTAGCGTCAGCCTGCATTACAAAGGGCTCTTCTAGGTTTAGGCGTTGGTGGGTCGGTTCCTCCGCAAAGAGCCGTTTTGAGCTTTCGGAAAGCCACTTTGACATTCCATAGTCCTGTGATGGCGAATCTATGGCACGCATGCCACACAGGTAGCAGGCAGAGCCATTGGTGCGGGCAGGGGAGCCCCAGCCAAACTTACCTGCACTGCGCATGCATACACCTCCCAGCTGTTTTTTCGGCCTGTTTGAGGCCGTTCTCACCTTCCTGGAGGCTCGAGGGAAGCCTCGGCAGCCTCGGCAGGCCAAAAAATGGGCCCCTTTTGGCACGTCCGGTATTTCCAGAAGGCCTCCCGAAACTGCAGAGGTTTCCCTTGAGCCTCCAGGAGGGCAAAAACGGCCTCAAACGGGCTGAAAATCAGCTGGGAGGCGCGCGCATGTGCAGTGCAGGTAAGGGGGTGGGGCGGGGGGTATTGTGCGCACATGCGCGTGGGGGGGGGCAGGGTACACGCACAACAAAAAGGTTCGCCATCGCCGCCATAGTCCAATCGAGCAACTGGCTCAGTTTGGGCTGCACCCCTCCTCATCTCATTTTTAGTAGCTCGGTGATGGGCAGGGCTTTTTTGCGGAAGGGACGAACAGCCGGTAGAAGTTGGCGAAGTCCAAGAAGCTCCGTTTCGTGGGGCTTCCCACTCTAATATTGCCTTCACCTTCGGATGAGGAGAGCACGTCTTTCTCCTTCCGTCCTGGCCATTTTAATTTTTTTTACGGAGGCACGATGGAGAGCGTTTTAACCAACTGCATCACTGTTTGGCTTGGGGGCAGCAGTGCCTCAGACAGAAAGTCCCTACAGAGAGTGGTGAGGACAGCGGAGAAGATAATAGGAAACTTGCTTCTCATTATTCAGGATACTGTTCATAAGTGCTATGCGCTTAGAGCTCAAAGCATCGTGAGAGACCCCACACACCCACTTTACAGTCTGTTTCTGTTTGCTGGGAGCGGGTGTCAAAGTATTTCTAGCAGGACTACCAGATTCTGTAACAGCTTTGTTCCCTAGGCCGTCCATCTGGAAAATCTGCAAGATCCTTTTTTTCTCACGTGTACATGTATACATTCGAACTAGACCGAGTTGTTTCTCTGTGTCGTATAATATACATGGGTATATGCATAATTTTTAATTTACTTATTTGTTTATTACGTCGTGGTTATGTAGTGCATATTGGAGGTGGCGACCCTTTGAGAGCTATACGGCAACAAAATTGCATTTGAATGTATGCAGATTAGTGTACATTCAAAGTGACAATAAAATTAGTCTATTCCATTCTCCCAAAGGTGCTTTTTTCAGGAGGCAAATGTACTTTCTTGTTTTTTTCTTTTGAAAACGTTTCACTTCTCATCCAAGAAGCTTCTTCAGCTCTGACTGGATGGTGGGGAATGGAAGGATTTATACTCCTTGCAGACATCCTTTTGGAGGGTTGTTGAAGCACTTGGAGGTTTATCTGTGTCCTCAGAGTCACCTGAGTGGTGCTCCTGGTTCTTGGAGTTGGCATTTTTTCTCTCTGGAAATCCATTCCTACTCCCACCCCATTCTGTCAGAGCTGAAGAAGCTTCTTGGATGAGAAGTGAAATGTTTTCAAAAGAAAAAGCTCTTGGGAACTTTGAATCCCAAAAGTAAAACTTTATTGGATAGACCATCTTGGAACTGAAGAAGCAAAACCATCTCAGATTGTGTCTTCTTATTTCTTCTTCCTCTTCTTCCTTCTTCTTGTTTCTTCTTCTTCCTCTTGTTTCTTCTTCTTGTTGTTGTTTCTTCTTCTTCCTCTTGTTTCTTCTTCCTCTTGTTTCTTCTTCCTCTTCTTCCTTCTTCCTCTTCTTCCTTCTTCTTCCTCTTGTTTCTTCTTCTTCCTCTTGTTTCTTCCTCTTCTTCCTTCTTCTTCCTCTTGTTTCTTCTTCTTCTTGTTTCTTCTTCTTCCTCTTGTTTCTTCTTCTTCCTCTTCTTCCTCCTTCTTCCTCCTCCTCCTTCTTCTTCTTCCTCCTTCTTCCTCCTTCTTCCTCCTCCTTCTTCTTCTCTTTCTCCTTCTTTCTCTTCCTTTTCTCCTTCCTCTCCTGCTCCTCCTCCTCCTCGCATATTCCTACAGGTGTAGGGTCCGCATTTCGGATCATTGAACGCCACTTTGGATGTTCAGCTGCGTTTCCCCGCATTAAAATCTTGCTTAGTTAAACAATAGATTTCCCCCAATCCTCCCACCCGCTGGCATTCACATGGTCCAATTATAGTAAATTTTGTTGTTGTTGTTGTTGTTGTTATAGGGGACGTTCCACTCCTCCATCAAGCACCTGCAGGAGTGACCTTGGCATTTTGGAAGCTCTCACAGTCCATGAACAAAATTTTGGCCTTCTGTTTCCTCCCCTACACATTCCACCCTTCTCCCCTCTTTTCGTTGGCACATTGAATAACAACAGAAGCTAGAAGGCAATCAAGCAATTCAATCTTGACACTGTTTGTACCTGTCAAGAAAGAGGGTGTGGGGGAGGGGGGGGGGGGGAGCAATCCTGGAAAGGAGAGAGGGGTTCTCCAAGGCTACAAAAGAAGAAATTAAAGAGTTGGGGGGGAGAGGAACAGGGTTGCAAAATTGATCCCCACTTTCTCCTGTTTTTTTCCCTTTTACTCTCCAAGCCAGCCCAGATGGTCTGGTAATCGCTCTCTTTCTCTCTTCTTGACTCTCTCTCTCTCTCTCTCTCTCT